TAAACCTTCTTTGCCCACTGCTGTGCTTAAAACCATGAGGTCACATGTATATTTTCATACTTTCCTTTTAGTGGGATGTTAGGAAAGATCAGGGACAAATACATACAGTGTTTGCTATCTTTAGCCAGAAAACCCAACTGTTCAGATAAAAATTTCAAACGAATGCCTTTGAAGATTGGTTCTATATAAGAAAAATTACTCTGTTTTTCCCACTTAATACTCCCAAGTGTGTTTCTCCATCTTTCAGGCATGAAAGATCTTTTGAATAAGAATCAATCTAGACGGGTATAAATAGAACAGTGGCAGTTGCCACAATAAAGAATGTGTGGAGACTCAGTTTCCTCAGTTTATCAGAGACCTGACACTTTAAGAGTTCGACGTCAACAATAGGAAAATAAATAAGATTCAGTTCAAAATGTAGCACACGTTTAAGCCAAAACAGTGTTTACAGCATGGTAGACATTTACTATGTATATGATCTGTCCAGGAGGTACCCATCCAGGAGGTAACATGAAAAATAGAGACATTTATTGAAGAAGATACAAGATATAAGAAACATTATACATAGGACAATGATGCCTCAGTCCCTGTCAAAGTGGGCACCTTGGGACCTCACACAGTTCTCCCAATTGCCATCAGCTGCCCTGTCGTATTTTTCTGAATCTCATCGATGGTCTGAATTCCTTTCCTTTTCAAAGATGATTTTAATTTTGGGAAAAGCGAGAAGTTGCAGGGCACCAAATCTAGGCTGTTGGGGTGCTGAGTCACCTGGGTGATTTGATGTTTCACTAGAAAACTCTGCATGAGATGTGATGCATGAGTGTGTTGTTGTGATGAAGCTGCCAGCCGGTCACCAGTTGCCCATAGCTGCGGCCTTCTGAATCATCCCAATAGTTTCTGTGGATGAATGTTCAAGCTTAACCCCAAATTTGATACGGACTCATTGCTCTACTTGCTCACTCATTTTGAATGCAATGGCCACACAGTACACACGCTCACTCAATGGTGTCTACCACCCCCCAGTGACTAGTACAGTGAAGTTGTCATCATTCACACATGTACATTCCAGTCCCCTCTCCTTGGCTGCCGGGTTATATGGATGCCATGCAAATTGCTCTCATTATATTAACAGTGGCTGGACTTTTTCCAGACAGACCTCATATACTGGTTAAAATGAATGAATGGATCTCACCAGTATCACGACTTCATGAGCATCACACAACTCATATAACCATGCGTCACTAATTTATTCAACAAGCAGATACCACTCTGACACAGTTCTAAGCATGTAATTCTTTACACAGAAGTACATTATCAAATGATATATTTTTCTCATTTCCCATCTTTTAAGACATTTTTGGAATGAATTCAAATGTGTAGGATTACTTAATAGAACATTTTGAAAGCCTGTGTGAAACTGTAAAATCCATATTGTTTGTGAATTCAAGAATAATACACATAACATATGTGGTATCTACTTCAAACAGAAGCTAATGGAATCTGTATATTTGGGAATATGTGGCAATAGATAGATATATTTCTTCTATAAGTGGTGTGATATCTTTATTAACAAAATAGTTTCACTGGAATGAAATCTGACTCCATTACAATTGCAGATCAAACTTCTACTATTTTGCTTTAAAGTTAAAGTGAATTTTTTTAAAAACTTTGGCAAAAATTGATATTTATAAAAATGCTTCCATGGAGGGAATGGTTTGAATTTCATTCTTTTCACTTTATGCCTTCATTTTCATGGAGTGTATTATTAGATAACATTTGTGGAAATATTTGTGGGAGATACTATTGTTTTGGGGTTTTTTTTGAGAGTTCCAAGTCTGAAGCTCTATTTTTCTGTTCTCAATTTTGATTGATAGTTTGAGTGGGTATGAGATTTCTAAATTTTAAAAATATTTCCCTTAGATTTTCCTTCATATGTTGACTTCCTAAATGGGTCCTCTAAGTTTCTGATCTATTCCTGTCAATTTTCTGTGCCTCTGTTTTGTGCTGAACTCTGTGAGAGAACTCGTTGACTTTATCTCCAAATGAGTCTGCTATGTGTTTTGTTTGCTATTTTTTCTGTATTTTAATAGCATCCTCTTTTCATTTCACAGATGTACAGGCATCCCTTGGTATCCATGGGGCATTGGTTCCAGGGCCACTGTGGGTACCGAAATCTCTGAGTGGTTAGCCACTGAAATGAAATGGCATTGTATTTGCATATAACCTGTGTATATCCCCCATATACTTTATTTTTGTATTTTATTTTTAATTTATTTATTTCTAAATACTTTATTGTTTATGCTATTACAGCTGTCCCAATTCCCCCCCCCCTTTGCCTCCCTCCACACAGAGCCCCCCACAAGCTCCCTCAGGCAATCCCCAAACCGTTGTCCATGTCCACACTCATATACTGTAAATCAGGGGAGTCAAACCATTTTCACCGGGGGCCACATCAGCCTCGCGGTTGCCTTCAAGGGCTGAAATTATTTTAGGACTGTACAAATGTAACTACTCCCTAACTGTTAAGGAGTTGAAATGACATTCGGCCCTTTGAAGGCAACTATGAAGCTGATGTGGCCCCCGGTGAAAATGAGTTTGACACCTCTGCCGTATACAATGTAAGTGCTACGTAAGTAGTTGTTATACTGTATTATTTAGGGAATAATGACACCTAACTACACAGTATGTGTCAGCAGCAATGATTCTTTTGGAATATTTTCAACCCACGGTTGGTTGAATCCGTGGATGCAGAACCCACAGGTATGGAGGGCCAACGGTACTATTTTGTGTCTTGGGGATCATCCTGGTGTTTGTAATTATAGTCTCTTGATGCATTTTCTCAGGTTTCCGGAGTTTCCTCTCTTTTGTTTGTTTGTTTGGGTGCTACTGCTTGTCTTTCATGTGAGAAGCTTTGTTCAAACAGTCCATGTGCTGGAGAAAGGGCACTGGAAGGACATGCCTGCCTGCGAGGGGCTTTCTGGCGGTCGAGCTCCCTGTAGGCAGACGGAGGAGATCACCTGGCTATTGGTCTGAGCTGTCATGTCGGTCTCCCTCGGTGTTTTCTCGTTGTTCACTCCTTCTCTCCAGGAAGACAAAGGAGGCAGCTTGCTTTTTGTGGCTTTGCCTGTGCAGACACACTTACATTTCAGCTTTCCCTCTGTAGATCAGCACTGTGTTTTCAATATTCCAAAATTACGTTGGCAATCCTTGTCTCCTGTTGTCTCCTGGAGGAGGTAGCAAGTGAGCTGTACCCTGAAGGATGTTTACCCGTCAGTCAGTCTTACAAGTGTAGATGGAGTGGGGGACAAGAAAAGGAAGGGGAGCAACCTTCCAAACAGAGGGAAAGGAAATGGAAAATGAGTTAGTGTGATGCATAGGGTTGGGTGGACAAACGTGTTCATTCACCTCCTCATATTTCCTCAAGCACATTGCCTTTTCTCTCAGTGCATCCATAGCAGTAATCAAATTAAATAGAGTACCTTGATGCAACACTCTTGATTCTCTGAGACAACTTATTCCAATGTCTAGTATCCTAACATACATCATATGGCTATTTCACCCATATGAGAAGTAGTAAATTGATCATATGTAACACTTTAATGAAAATGACAATGTAAGAGTGGTATATTATTAGGAAGGAAAAGAATTGATGAGACTTCTCCTTATAAAGTAGCTGTATTAGAGATTTTTTAGACATTAGAGATTGTATTAGACATTATTTTATGGAAGAATAAAATAATGAAACTGTGTGTAGGAAACCAAATAACATTTGACTTAGTTTCACTGATGGGCCAGTTCAGATGTGAGTGGCTCTCCAGCTGTTGGAAGGATGGAAGGACTTCCACAGAAGTCATTTACATGCACATTAATAGGTTTGAAGAATTGAGCTTTTAAACTTTTCTAAGAGTAGTGGAGTTATGAAGAACATTTCATTCATTTATGTCTCCATCTAGGTAAGTTTCAAAGAAGTATTTTTTATTTTATAACTTCAACTTCTTGTTTACATGCAAACATTTTTAAGGTACCAAACTGATATTATTATCAGGAATTGACAAATAAAAAAATTAAAATAATTACAACGCTCCTCAAGAATAATTATTTTAATATTTGGTTTAGCCATTTCTCCCCAACACAGAATAAGAGACCTGACTACTTTTTAAATTTCCTGGACTGGACACTTTTCCCATTTCCTTAAATTGCCTTTGAGAAACTGAATTCTAATGATGGCGCACTGGTCTTGAAGCCTGCATTCAGAAAACGTTTTAGTGTTAGAAAGCCAGGGAGCATCCATTCGTCATTCCCTGTCAGATCCAGCACTGGGGAGAGAGGGGTCGGGGCCTGAGGAAGATGAGGAGGCAAAGTGCTGAAGAGCCTGCGTGGGGCCGGCAGGGGCGGCTATCGTGGCTGAGGCCACCGCATTCCTGGTGTCTCTGACCTTGGACTCACTTAACGTTATAGTCTGGATTCTATTAAAGGAATTGCACATTTTTTTTCTTCACTAGGATCACCCCCTACCACGACAAATATTTAAAAATGTTTTTTTTTAGTTGGAAAAGCAACTTTTTCCCCAAAGAAATTTATAGTTCAAATTTACACCAAGTTCTCACTAACTAGAGCAAGCGGGATTTTCAGGACAGCGTCAGCTTTCCTCTGTAAAACATTAGTCACTCCCCTGGAAGAGGCCGTTTTTATAGGCAGTGGGATAAAACAGCCACAGATGTGCATGGGAAATGATGGGCTTAAGAATGTACCTGCAAAGCATTTTTTTTTTAATTTGAAGGGAAAAAAAAGATGAAAGATAGACTAAATTGGGATGCTAAAATAACAGTGATTCCGTATTAAGGAAATGATAAGTTTTTGATCCATTTCAAACAGCGTTTTCTTTTCCCCTTTCCTTTATTCTTGGGAAGTTCTTGAGAGTGTGCCAAGTCTTTGCACTGCACAATTTTTAAAGGTATTTGCCATTCCCATGTGTAACTGCCTGCCTTTTTACTGTGCAGGGCTGTAGTGACGCCTGTGGCCAAAGAGTTTAATCCAGACATGGTCCTAGTTTCCGCCGGATTTGATGCATTAGAAGGCCACGCCCCTCCTCTGGGGGGATACAAAGTGACAGCAAAATGTAAGTATATCCTTTGGGGCTTTAAGACATGCTATGACATAACATCTTTAGATCTTTAAAATAGACGGCACCTTTTACAGGGGTCCATTCAAGTTAGGTGAGACTTTTGAAATGTTTCAGACGGTGTTTACTGCTCTGTCAGATTCACCTCTTTGTAGAAATTGGCCTTTAAGAAAAACAAAGTTAATTTGTTTCCTTTGGTGGACTTGGGGGGACAATTCAGAACCTTTACAGTTCCAGGAGTCCTGTGTTGCTATTTAAAGGCAGATGTGATAGGGCTTCTGTTTAAAATAGGCGGAATGACTTGAAAGGTCATGAGTCTAGAAAAGCTACTGGACGTTTAACGAGGAAAATCGAGGTTACTGTTTTTATCCCATTGTACTTGGAGTAAAAAGAAAAAAAAAGCCACCAAACAAAAAAACGCCACTCTTTCCCAATAACACAATGATCTTTGGGTTTGAATACGATGTGTTTCCCATGCTCACAGGCTCTGTACATGCCTACAGGCAAGGTTCAGGGTCTTCTGTTGTGTTGTAAAGATTAATTTTTGGGGCTGTGTTCCTTAGCAACCAGATTCCAAATGACCAAATAATTTTGTGTTATATTTGCATTTGATTGATGTGACTAAATGCAATTTGACCAGAAAGAGTCTTTCTTTAAGAATAATTTCTGTATTACCTGAATGTAAAAACAAGGGTGTGCATAGTCCACGCATACAAATATCTGCAGCACAAAGAATAGGGTCCATCATGTTTTTTGGGTGAGTGAGGGGAATAGAAACAAACAAATCAAAACCGACCCAAATAGTTTTAAGTGAGAGAGATACATTTGGATCAAGTGTGATTTATTAATTTGAATAGGACCAAAGAACCAGCATCATGCCAACCTTTGTCTTTAGTTGGCATCTCATGTGAGAGAGTTTTCTGCTCTCTAATTATTCCAGTGACATTGTAGCTATCATATCCAGTGATAGCTACATTGTAGTAGCTATTTTTAACATCTGTTATTTATCCAGGGTTCTCAGTGCCTTGTTGTCTATGGAAAACATATTAAAAGAAGCAACTCCACAAACACAGACAAAACATAACAACTCACACTTTTTGTAAAATATAATAGAGAAGTATATTTGGTTATATCAAATATCTTTATAAACTTTTTACTTTCTTTCTGAATGCCACTCAAATGGAAGTCATTCTTTCCTGTAGAGATAAACCTCACTTGAGTCAAGATGGGTGAGTAGCTTAGTCAAAATTAAGGGGGGGAAAGAGTTTAATTTCCAAATTAAGATAAACCCAAATGAGAGAAAACACACGGAACAAAGATGGAAATCCAGAAAAGGTGTTCCTTGTTCTCACATCCCAGAATCTCCCTCAGGAGGGATTTGTCGGAGGAATATCTGTATTCGGGTCTTTCTCCCTGCTCTGGAGGCAAGTTGTAGCAAGTCCACTTCTCAGAATTAGCTCCAAGGAATTGATCTTTTTGTTTGCTTGTTTGTTTGTTGTTGTTGTTTTGCCAAATCAAGTTCAAATATCAAATGTCATCTGGCTTCTTCCTCTTGCTCGCTTCAGTACAATGCACCAAAGCCTTCCTCAAGTTGTGTTTCTTTACCCATTTTGGGGGGCATTCTTCACTGCTTCCTATGCCAGGGTGTTTGTCTGTAATCTCTCCAACCTTCCACTTTTTCTTATTTTTTCTTCCTTTCTGTGTGTTTCTTTTTCCTATTCAGCAGGCCATGGGCTGCCTTACCAGGTGATTTGTTTACTAAGAAAAACACACATGCATTATAAGTGATTTAATAACTGGCCCTTTCTTGAGTACTTGCAGTTAATAAGGAAAAGATATACAATGAGAAGATATCTTAGAATCCAAGGAGATTGTAGTTAGAGGTTATCTAAAATAGTTCATGTATTTTATAGATAAATAAACTAATTTATACTGTCATCTGAAATAATCGGGGTTAAAACCAAACTGCTTATCCTGAATTTGTAGTAGAGGAACTTACATAAGGCTTCTGCTGGACTTTTTCACTAAAGGGAAAAAACGTTTCATAAAATGCATGAGAATAGTGAACTTGGATGCCTGCTACAGAGGCCACTGTGGTGCCTAAGACCCTTAACTTTTCAAGTGTAGTCTGTGATAGTCACTGACTAGCCCACTGATACTTACACGAAAAACAACAGAGCATCACGTCTGGGTAACTGTTTGTTACATATCAGCCTGTGCAGGCCTGAGTTTACCAGCTGAGACGCTGCCACCTCCACTAGACAGAGGTTAGCATCACTGGGCAGCTGCATAGTTACATATTCCCCAAATAGCTCACCCCCCGGGGTCTCTTTGTTCTCGAACACCTGGCAGATGCCTTTAGGTTGCTCTGGTCTGAAAGTTCTGCACAGGCCATTCCTATGGGGCCTTCACTGTCCTGTGCCTGAGGTCATCCTCCCTTTGAGGGGAATCCCAAAATGAGGCTGAAGTGGGCTAAATCTAAAAGTCGGTGGATATTATAAAAACACATTTCTCTCCGATTGTTTTCCCATTCTGAAAAAACTCACCCTGGCCCCGAGGAGAATGTTCAAGGACTTTGCAGAGTGGTTTTGCGATCATGTCAGAGATGCTAACATTTTGTTGTCTTGGCACATTGAATGAATATTTTTAAATAATTTTGTTTGGTATTTCAGAAAGGAAAGGATAAAGTCAACGTCAATAGTGTTTTTGTTTGTTTTTAAACATTTAATTTGCTACATGATTTTTTTAAAGAATTGGTTAATATTATGACAAAAGTTTCAGACCAAATATAGGGATTATTTAAAATTAAAGTTGGTTCTTTGCTGGTCTGTTTTTTCCCTCTCTTCTCTCATTTCTTCACACATTAAGTATTCTATACTGTGAAACTACAACAAAAACATTCAAATTTGTTTCTACTAAAGTTTTAAATAAATTATCTGACTTAGTTATTTGAAATCAATTCTGTCTTTTCAATGAACCACGCGGATTACAGCCCAAGCTAAAAGGAGTAAGTAAGTATCCTTGCATCCTACCTGAAGCCTCACCTCAAATGTTACATTGAAGCTATCCATTTATCTTTTAAAATACTCTCGTTTTCATCTGATTGTCTTCTGGATACAGTCTAAGAGGGTTGGCATGACAACTAAGTGCCATGTTCAAACAATAAAATTAAATAAAATTTATTCACCATATTGCAGGACCCCCTGGCCTTACTATATTGTTATCATTGAAAAGATATAATAAAGGTTCTTTAGTTCACATTCATCTTACAAAAATGTTTTTTTTCATTTTAAACACATTTACATATTCTCTACTTTCATTGGCTTCAGGTAGTGAATTCACATGTGCACACTGCTTTCATCATGTGTATAAATTTTTTTCCTTTGAAATAGTGCAAAAGCCATTGTAAGATGATAGCCACATATGATTTAAAAATGTTTCTTTAATAAACATGAAGTAGTTTTACAGTTCTTGAGATAGAAACCATTTCCCTCAGCAAATACGTAAGTGGGATTTTGACAAGTAAAGAATAGCTAATAGTTGGGGAAAATATCAAATAACGTATCTTGGAGCCTTGAATTGCCAACTTCGCCGCGGTGGAATGTTTTATCCTTTGCGGCGAGCCTCCGCTCCTCTCCCCCGTGACTGTCCGTCTGTTGGGCGGAGAGCACCGCGCGCGGTGGGCAGATACCTGCATAAATGCATCTGGGCTTGGCTGCGAGTTCCTCCTGGGGAAGCCCAAAAACCCTGGAGTAGTCAGTCCTCCAAAAATAGATCTCTAAGAAGTTTAAGTGCTAAACCAGTCAACAAATAAGTGCCAAGAAGTAAACTTTGTTAAACAGATGAGGCTATGTTGGTGTACTTCATCTGCTCGTGACGGATGTATGTGCTAACGAACTTCATTATTGCTCCCATTTAGAATTGGCAAGAGCGAAATACTTTTATTACATTTACTCCAAGTCTTTTGTTTATAGAAGAAATAAAAATCACTGCCCCAAGTCCTATTCCCCTTCCCCTCCTAAACAGTGTCATAATTTGTGTTTTTTCCAGTATTCAAACACACACTCCTATAATATTTTAGTAAGTGTGGTTCCAAAGTTACCATGCATATATATAGCAGTAGGTAAGTATTAAATTATTATTCTGCGCATATAGTTTATGGAACTTGCTTGTTTTGCTTTTAACATCTTTGTTTTGACATATACTCATAAATATTTATATACCCTTTTACTTCCTATGTATTAGGCAATTATGGACATGTACTATTATGTATTTTATCTATCTCCTTATGAATGGACTGTAAAGTTGTGTCTGGGTTTTCACTATTATAAGCAGTGTGGAAGTGAACATCATCTCCCACATTTTCTCTTGCCTAGGCATTACCTTCTGCAGACGGTTCTGGTCCAAGTGGGCTTGTTTCTTTCTCAGTACGTAGCACTTGAAAACATGAGGGAGGCAGCTAAAGAAAGAACACCTTCCACCTTCCTCAGTACTCCTCAAACCACAGCCCCTATTCCTGGTCCCCCTCAAACGCATTCACCAGCACAACAGAAGCTTTCCCCTTCCCTTTCCCATCCTGTCCTTCCTTTCCCATTAAAATTGTCAGAGAGCATTTTGTTGTGTGCTCATATTCTTCACGTCTAATCCAACCATCAAGGGGAAAAACAATGAGCTAGAAGTCATGTGATAGATTCAAAAACATTATTTTAAGATGTTTTCAATGAATACTTCGGGAATTAAATTCAAATTGAAAACTGGTTTTCTACTCAAAGCCAGCGACTAGGAGGGCACAGTGGTCCTGAGGTGGGAGGCACAGGCTGGTCATCCAGCAGACAAGTGACAATCCTGGCGTGGGCTCTTAGAATGAATGACCACAGGAATGTCACGCAACCTCTTGAAGGTTCTCGACCCTAAAGGGAACATTAATTTCATCCTGGCAATATTATTGTTATTGATGATTGAGTAATAATACCTGCTGGCAATGGTTGAATATTTAC